AGGGGCCCAGAGCCAAGGGCCCTGAACTCCTTCCCTGCACCTAGGGCTGCCAGATGGTCTCCCCAAAAATACCGGACACCTGGTATTTTTTGGTTGAGCAAAAAAAAAAAAGCGGGATACACGGCGATCACAACCCCGCTTCCCAGCAGGGACTCCCACCCCCGCCAGGCTTCTGTGCAATCACAGGCTCCTAGCGCCGATCGTGGCCCCGCCTTCCAGCCGCTCCCCCCGCCCACGCCAGGCTTCCGTCCGGTGCGCAGCCGGAAAAATCAGAGACTACCAGTATTCTCTGATTTTTTTTATTTAAACCAGACAAAGAGCGCAAATACTGGACTGTCTGGTAGAATACCAGACACCTGGCAACCCTACCTGCACCCCATGTCAGTGAGACTCCCTCACGCACCCTGCAGCCTGTCTCCCCCTCCGGCCAGCCCCCACCTCCAGTCTTTGTCCAGCTTCCCCAGCAAAAGCTGTCTCCTGGTCAGAGCCCCTCCAGGCTCAGGTTAGAGAAGGCATCAGCCATTGTGTATGTGAGGGAGAGTGTCACACCGAAATTCCCATCACCACCTCGCTATGGGTGCAGTGCTCGGAGAAACTGAGGCTCATACACACAAGGGTTGTTACAGGACAGTAGAAATCACATGCAACATAACAAGGTGAACAGAGTGAATACAATCCCCACTTCGTCATGTCCCCTCTCCCCCATTGTCATAAAATGGCCTGGGAGAGCAAGAAATACTCCACTTCTGTCCTTGCCACGTTAAAGGTCCCGACCCTAGCATCTAGCAGCTGGGATGCTTTGCTGGAATTAGGTGGTGTTACTGGAATAGGCAGCTTCTAGGAAGCGGTAGTAGAAGTAGCTGTCGAGTTGGAGTAAAAGTGGATGGAACGCTTCACTGGCTCACGCTGTTCGAGTTAAATAGAGGATGGGAGAACCCCAAAGCATCAGAGAGACTGAAAGTGACCCCACCCTGACAAACCTCTCGGGGTTAAGTATCAGAGGGGTAGCCGTGTTAGTCTGAATCTGCAAAAGCGACGAGGAGTCCTGTGGCACCTTATAGACTAACTGAAGTGTAGGAGCATAAGCTTTCGTGGGCAAAGACCCACTTCGTCAGATGCATGTAGTCTGGAAATTTCCACTACATGCATCTGACGAAGTGGGTCTTTGCCCACGAAAGCTTATGCTCCTACACTTCAGTTAGTCTATAAGGTGCCACAGGACTCCTCATCGCTAATGTAACCTTGTATCCAATAAAAAACTTAGTGGTTGGGTTGTCAATCTAGCCCATCCTCTTGAACTCATTTGCTTTGTCATCTGCTTTCATGACCATCTAGATCCAAATTAGAGCAAATGGGCTTAAGGCCAAAATGTTACGTGTTTGCTGCTAGACTCCAGACAAGGTGCTGAATGAGGTGTGGTATGTCTGGATAGTTCTTTTCCCCAGTTGTTTGGTTCCCTTGTCGAGCTGAGTTTCCTAAATGCCTCTTAGAAATTGAAAATAATTTTCATTTTAAGGCCCCTTTGAATGAGCATTGCCTAGCAATGACATTTTACAGGGGAGAGATGGTCTAGAGGTTAAGACACTACATGGGGATTGGTTAATTCATGGCTCTGCTACAGAATTCCTAGATGATCTTGGTCAAGTCCCTTTATCGCCTTGTGCCTCACTCCAGACAGTCTTACAATAAGGTTGACAATCCCTACTTTTCTTGGGGTAGGTATGATGTTAGATACCTTTCTGATAGGTGTGGTATGAAAACATCACATGGATAGGGGCTGAGATTATTAGAAGGGTGGTGCTATAAAAGTAAAAGGGAGCCTTGCAAGGTAAGATGCACAAAACTCATTGACTTCCATATGGACTCATGTTCCTTCTGTGCTTTCAAAAAGTCCCACCCTGAGTCTACTAGTCCGGTCCCCTTCATGTGCTGCTGCCCCTAGCTTTCTATTATACTAAACAAAGGCTGTGGGATGCTGGCTGAGGAGCGCCACGGGTAGCAATTCGAATCCTGGAGAGTGCTGAAGGTTGCCAGAAGCCCCACAGGGAAATGACCACAAAGGCAGGCCTAGCTCCAGCAGTGATACCTTCTCATGCAGTCGCTTCTAGACCACCAGGGTGAGAGGGGGGAAAACGCCGGCGGGAGAGAGAGTCCGTGGTTAGGACGTTAACCAAGACCTGGAGAGATCTGGGTTCAATTCCTTTCTCCAGCACAGACTTCCTATGTGACCTTTGGCAAGTCACTTAGCTCCTCTGGGCTCCAGTGGCCCATCTGTAGCATAGGGATAATGGCAGCACCCTGCCTCGCATGGGTGTGGTGATGATAAATGCATTAGATTTTGAGATAATCAGGTATAACAGTGATGGGGCAGTAGAAATGTCTCTGTCTGACATTCGGCGCAGAGAGGGACCAGTGGGGACATTTGCATGAGATTGCTCTAGGTAATTTCCAATCTGGTTTGCTCATCACTAGGTTCAATATACTGTACACACAGTGGAACGATTCTTAGCTTGTTGAAACCACTGTAGCTCCACTGGCTTGAAAATTCTACCTTGGCTTGATGTAGAGACACTTTGGGACCACAGCTAATTCTTACCCTCCTGCTGTGATTGTTTTTCTTCTTCCTCATTTGCACTGAGCATCCCTTGGGATCCCTTCATAGTCCTCCTTGAGACTTCATCTTCACTCCCCAGGCTCATTGCTTTCTTATAAAAATTAGCACGTTGCTCCCTCTCTTCCTTCTTCCCGCTGAAATGAATAGTCCCATTCATTGCAATGGCAATTTATTTGCGCAGGTATCAGGTTTGGATACAGCGCGTCCCACTGAGACCAGAGACAGATTTGCATAGAAACAGGCGCCATTACATGGCGGCTGTTGGAAGAAGAGCTGAATGTTTTCCAGGTCTGTGGAAGACAGTCGGCATCTTTCCACTGACCTCCGTAGCTGTTGGATGAGGCCCTAAATGAACTGCTTGAGGGACAGGAAGTGGAAGGGTCGGGGTCGCAGGCGAAAGGGGCTTTGGCCTTCTGACTCCCCCACTGGAAAATGGGGAAGTTGTGTTGTGGGATTTGACCCTGTGTGCTATCTAGAGTTGCCAGATGGTCTCCCAAAAAATACTGGACATCTGGTATTGTTTGGTCGAGCAAAAAAAAAAAAAAAAAGGAACGCAGGATAAGCAGCAATCACAACCCCACCTTCCAGCTGGGAGGCAGGGCCGTGAACGCTGCTGGGAGCCAGTGATTGCATGGAAGCCTAGTGGGGGCGGGGCTGCACATGTCAGGCTTCCGTCCGCTGGAAAAATCAGACAATACCGGTCATTGCATGTGTCTGGTATTATCTGATTTTTTTTTTTTTTTTACTGGGCAGAGGGCTCAAATACCGGACTGTCCCATAAGATACCGGACTCCTGGCTACCCCACCTAGTGCTATCCCAGTTCTGCTGGCCTGGGAGAAGAATGAGGTCCTTCTCCATAGTAAAGGCTGGGGTAGGGGGAATCCTCAACCTTAAGGAGAAACACAAGCTCAATCTTGACTCCTATGTGGACAGCTGTTGGAGAAGTTGACCCACATCTGTAGCTCCGGGGATAAGCCATGATGGTGTTTCGGTTGTGCTCTTACTGTTGTTGTTATTTGTACGTAAAGTGTCTGGCCCAGCAGAACTGGCAAATAGGACAGTATATTTCTGTCTTGGTGCAAAATCCCCCTGGAGACAAGTTCCAAATTCCAATGTAGACGGGAAAAATGTGATTTACACAGAGATGTTTCCCCTTGTTTGAAGGCAGGCTAAGCAGTCTGTTTGCTGGACGCAGGGCAAATTCCCAAGTTTGGATTATGCTTGAGGCAGGTGACCGATGCCAAATAATCGCTATTCCGTTTTAATCACCGTTACTGGTAAAATCCCACTATTTGCAAGTAGCTCCCCATTTCTACTTGTTTGTGAAGAGCCCTGGGATTTCTTGGTCCCTGATTTGTGTTGCAGTGGGTTGGGTCAGGTCGTGACGTGCGCCAAGACAGCGCAGCATAGTGCAGCCTTTTTGAAGCTGCCCATTGGTGCTGAGCAGTGGGACCGGGAGCTGGCATTGAGTCAGTAAGCGGGGCTGGCCTCTGGATGTGGAGAAGCCGGTTGCAGAGCCCCCACTGCACTTCTGCTTCCCGTGCCTGTATATAGGCCTAGAAGAACTTGACTCTCACAGGCATGCCCTTTTTTCTGGTGTATGAGTGTGAGTCACTGCAAAGATAAATGAAATAAAATTTGAAGTGGTGCAAAAAGGCAGCGTTCGGACTAGAGGTGTGGAAGTATAACCATGTACACAATTAGCTGATGAACTTGGGCTTGTCGGTAAACATTCATGGTTACATGCAGGCTCCCAGGACACATGGGGAGCTTGCTCCCTGGGAACTGCCTGCTGCCCTGAGCTGCTGCCTCTAATACAGAGGCAGCAGCACAGGGTGGCAGGCGGGAGATGGTATGCATGGGGAGCCATGCTGCCCTGCGTGTAACTGTAACTACTTACATTTTCAGCAGTTACACGGTTACCGAATTACATGCATTTAGCATCCCTATTTCCATGCTGGATCCCAGCTGGATCAGGTTGAGACTACGACTCTAGACCACAAAACCAAGGTCATATTCAACGGTGTCAAAACCTTGCCAACTGCTTTCAGGGTAGTTCCTGCAGGAAATGGCCAAACTCTCATCAGATCAGCAGTTCTCACACAATAGCTACTCACTTGGGAGGAGTGGCTGTGTGTGTGAGATTTCATCCACAGCTGAACTGGAATCAGAAAACAAGCCCCTTCTACTTCGAGATCTGATCCAGAATCAAAATCATAAGAATGGGCTTAGCTCAGAGATTCCATCTAAAATCTGTCTTGATCCTCCTCTCCCCAAAAAAGTCAAGAGCTTGGGAATTAGAGGTTCAGTGCATGTCCCCTCTCTCAGTGTAACCCGATGGCCTTGTAAAGACACGACCCCCATTGTTTGTTGTGTCTCCTTTAGCTCTAGAACAGCTGCTCACGGAACTTGAGAATTTTCTGAAGATTTTGGATAAAGAGAACCTCAGCAGCACAGCTGTAGTGAAAAAGAGTTTCCTTGCTGACCTCCTGCAGGTGTACACAAAGACAAGCGGTACGTATAGCGTCACAACAATGGAGGGGGGTTCTTAACTGAGACTGGGTAGATGGGATATGAGAGGAGATGGATCTGTTTTTTTAATTGTTTATACATGATTAGATCTATCTACAAAAATAACCAGAGCTCCAGATTCTTAAAAGTAAAGGATTTCCAAGGTTCCCAATCACTTTTGTTTTCCTTGCTGTAACTTGGTTTATTTTTAATCCACACCATAAGATACACAGGATGTACTGTTTGGCTGAGTTCACATTGGAGCAGAAACTTTAACTCGTGGATTTCCTGGCTGTTCAGTGTTTAATTTCTCAACTTTAGCATTGTTTAATTGGTAGGTTTTTGCCTTTAGTAAACACTGATGTGTAGACATATACATGTACATATATCTGTGTTTAATACTTAGTCGGGTCTATGGGACGTGTAGACATGTACATGTATGTATATCTGTGTTTAATACTTAGTCGGGTCTATGGGACAGGCTCATGAAGACATTTCTCTCTCCCTTTTTACAGGTGGTGATGAGGAATACATTTACATGAACAAAGTGACCACCTTCCTTAAACAGCAAGGTGGACAGGAGAAAGAAGACAGAGGTATGTAATCCATGGCTAGCAATTGTCTGGGATGTAACTTTCTAGTAGAGAGAGAAGAAAGGGGCACAGGATTTGATTCTGTTCCTGTTGACATCTGATGTGATTCCCTTGAATTACTGGGGTGCAGAACTGAGCCAATGAAAGAGGGTGAAGATGACTGTCCTCTTTTTATATATTCTGTGCTTTTGGCGAACGCGGTGAGGTTATTCCTAGAAGGAAAACTTTTGAAGGCAGTATTTTTGGATAAAAATGTCTCCTTGCTAAGTATGCAGTTTCATGCAACCCTAGTGGAGTATTTAAAGAAGTTCTCCGAATATGTATAGACACAAAACAGATCTAAAATCTTTTTGATGACTATTTTCAGCATATGTCTTTGCACGCTGCCACTGGTGGTTTCAAATTGTCTAAACGGGTGCAAGATGAATTATTTATGCACCCAGTACACATCCTGTCTTGTAGTTACAGCGCACCTCTCCCCATGCCCTTCAGAAGATCCTAGTACTTTGCAAACGGTATGTGCTCAGAACACTAACCCTGGGTGAAATGCTCATGATTGTCTTCCAACAGGTTTTTTTTTCTTCTGACTAGCTGTACAGGCAGTCCCCAGGTTACGTACAAGATAGGGACTGTAGGTTTGTTCTTAAGTTGAATTTGTATGTAAGTCGGAACTGGTACATATTGTAGGGGAAACTCTAGCCAAACATTTCTCCAGAGCTCAGTTTTATTCTCCCACACCTCACTTCCCTCAGTCCTTTATTCTCAAGCTGAGGTGTCTGCTGAGAAAAGCCGCTCCACGTCTCCCTGGTCTGCTGGGGGGAAGCAGCTAGTGCGGGGTTGCCTCACCCCGTTTGTAAGTCGGGATCCGATGTAAGTTGGATCCATGTAACCCAGGGACTGCCTGTACTTGGTTTTGCATTCACAACATGGGAGAGGGTTCTTCAAAAGTTCAGAATGTTTGTTAAAATGTCTTCCTTTCACGATGTGTATGGAAACTCAAAAGGATCACTTATCCTCCAAGCTTCATACTTACAAATATAGATCAGCCCGTTAGCTACTTCCAATATTATTATTAGTAGTATTAATATTAATATTATTATTTATTATTATTGTATTACAGTGTTGCCCCGGGGCCAGCTAAGAATGAGGCCCCATGCAAATGCAAGAGACAGTCCCTGTCCCAAATTGCTTACAATCTAAATACAGTAGAGTCTTGATTATCTGACCTAAATGGGACCAAAGGATGGTCGGATAATCGAAATGTCAGATAATACAGAAAATACCTTGCGGGGTCCAAGGTATTTTCCCCGTCAGCTGCTGCTCTGCAGACACTCGGCTGCTTCATGGGGAGCCCTGCTGCCCTGACCTCCTTGATTTCTCCCGGCCAGTCGCGCTGCCCTCGATCTCCCCTATCTTTCCCGGCCAGCCGCAGGGCAGCATGACTGGCCAGGACAGCTACGGGAGATTGGGGGCAGCATGGCTGGCCGGAAGGGATGGGGAAGTTCGGGGTGCCCCGCGACCTTCAGGGGGCGGGGGTGGCTGGGCTCCAGCATCCTGTCGCATGGCCCTGCTCCCTCCTCCCTCTTCTCTCACCGCCTTTGTCTCTGCTCAGCCTGGCGCCTTCCCTTCCACGCTCCCCTCTGCCGGCTCCGCCGCCCGCACAGTTGTCTTGGGTGGCCGCAGGCAGGTCGGATAACACGGAATGTTGGCTAAAGGAAGGTTGGATAATCAAGACTCTAGTGTAAACAAGACAGAAGGACGTTTAGGGAAGAGGGTAACACACACGCAAAGTGAACAATATGATGGCCTGCAAAGGTCACGCTAGTTCCATGATTTTTTATTGTGTTTATAATCTGCTTCATGCAGCCAAATTGTGGATTCTCTTTCCGCATGTGTATGTACAGCCCCATCACAATAGGCCACAATCTTGGCCAGTGCTACTAGGTATGCATGATTATTATAATAAACCATAGCCCAAGAAGGCCAGCTGGTCTCAGCCAGAGCTGGAGCATGGCAATTGGCAATGGAAAGATTGAGTTACATGGATTCTCTAGCTGGGCTCCCATGACATGCAAGGCTTGCCCAGGCAATGAAGTGAAGCACGATCAGTTGCAAGTCACTAAATCCTGCTGTAAGTTTTTATTTCAGCCTTTTCCCTCTCCTGGGCTGTGAGCTCCCATTTGCAATCGCTCCCTGAAGGACGTGGCCTTTTCTCTTTCAGCCACTTTCCCAGCTCAAGTTAAGCTTCTAAGATTTCCATCTGGAAAAACGGAAGCCAGTGGCTTAGCCTCTGTGTGTGTGTGTGTGGCCTACGTCCTAGATATGGATGTGTAGAAGACCCCAACTCTGCCTCTGCGCGCAGCCCGGTGGAATGAATGGGTATCTGTACAGGGACTGGCATCTGCCCATCCAGAGTCAGCTGCAGGTCAGAACCTGTAGGGGTTTAATTCCTTCAAGCTCTGATTGTGGTAAGGTAGATTCTTGGGCCCAGGCAGAGTCTCACTGAAATCAGTGGGACTTTGCTGGGTGCATGCTAGCACATCAGGGCCTGAATCCGTTCACAGTTGAATTGCACCGAAAGCTTCCTTTATAGGAGCAGCGCAAGATAAGGCGTTTTCTTAAGACCATCAGAGCAGCTCAAAGGAAAGAGGGGGAAAAGCCCCTATAAAAACAAGTGAGGGATGGCCAATACTTGTTCCTATTAATGAATTTACTTTTGATGGCACTAGTAAGATGATGAGCTGAGCAATACAGTCCTTTGTAATCATCTTTGTTTGGCAGGGCAGCTGAATTCACTCAGCTAAATGACCTAAGATGACACAATTTACCTGAAAAATATCCAATGTATTGTTCTCTGGAAGCTGGACACTGGTGAGGCTGCTCAGGAGAGCGTCCAGTGCTGCCCAAATGATTAGCAGAGCACTCGCAGCTAGGTTTTGGCTTTCACTGGTGATGCACATGCCTTGGTGCACACACAAAATGTATTCTGCACACGGATGGAAAAGAGTAGAGGGTATATTGACTCTGTGTACAGGAAAGAAAATAAATATTGCTCTTTGGTAGTACCAGCAGGGAAAGTACAATGCAAACATGGGCATGAGAGCAGTTGTTTGACTTGATGCAGGAATTTGTTTGGTGAAATTCTCTTCCCTGAATTAGACCCAGACGCAGGCTAGATGATCGCAGCGATCTTGGAATCGGTGGATCTGCCTTGGTGGCAGATAACGGAGAGCATGCTTGTATAACAACGAAGAATTAGGACCCTTTATTGCTGTTAAAATGTTATGCCTGTTTACAAAATTTCCTCTTGCCTGTTTTTTGTCTTTCTAAATGTCACCTGCCCAAATTCCAAGTACAGGGGAATTTCAAAGCCAGCGAAACCTGTACTGCATGCCCTGTTATTAAGCAACTTCCTGCCTTAAGAGAAAACCTGGAAATCTCTCCCATTGCCTTAGGGACAGTTCTACTGTGTCTTTACTGGAAGCGAGTGTCAGCAAACTGGCTTTGTTTTGAGTTGACGTTTACAGCTGGTTTAGAAAAAACAAAATTATTCCTTAAGCAGATCCCTCTTTACAGAGGGAGAGAAGAGCAGGAAACTCCCTCAAAGTCCAGCAGGGGTGTCACCACGCACATCTGATGTATCCTGTGGAAGTGCCTACAGCAATCAGTTATACACCCTGAAATCCCCTGGATGCAAACTGTGCAGCATCGCAGGGCCAGCTCCTGATTTGTATCGGCGCAAGGTCTGGACCAGCGTCTCCATCCTGCTCTCGATTTGCTGAGTAGATTGGGGGTGGGGAGAATGAATGAGGAAGAACAAACTAGATTCCTGGGAAGGTGACGTTCTTCGGATGATTCCCAGGCACAAGGGGAAACCAAGCACTTGCAAGATTTTAAGAGATGCTGGCACCATGCGAGTAATGCAGAGATTTGAATGAGTGCTCGCTGCACAAAATGTCACTCCTCCCCATTGTCTTCAGTTCTTGGAGGGATGCTCTGTCCTGGGCAGCAGTTACAGATCAGCCATGTACATCTTTCCTAAATAGACACCGCCACCGTGCACTTCGTGAGAGAGGCCGGGTACCTGTGGACAGGCCGGTAGCCAGTGGTATGCCAGCACTGCGAATGCAAACTGAAGCCTGCACTGACGAGCCACAGGGCCTGGGCCAATTGGGAGCTAAAAATTGCAGTGTCGATAGTCAGGTTCTGACTGGATCCTGGGCATTGGAACCCAATGAGGGAAGGGCCATTGGGTATTTATAGACTACATGCCTCTGCCGAATAGTAAATTAGACGCTCCAACATAGTCAATGAAGTGGCGATTTAAATATCCCCTGCTTCATTAAAATAAAAATGGCCAACGTACTGTGCTGGCTCAGCTGATCGTCGGCACAACGCGGCAGTCAAGACGTGGATCGGTCGGCAAGGAAAGCCTTTGCCGACTGATCGTGTAAACCTAGTTTCACGAGGCATAAGGGATCGGTCGCAAAGGCTTTCCTCGTTGACCGATCCACGTGTTGACTGCCGCGTTGTGCCGACGATCAGCTGAGCCAGCACAGTACGTTGGCCATTTTTATTTTAATGAAGCAGGGGATATTTAAATCGCCACTTCATTGACTATGTTGGAGCGTCTAATTTACTATTCGGCAGAGGCATGTAGTCTAGACATACCCTTTGAGCCCAGCTACTGCTGCTCCTTTTAGCCCTGCAAGCTCTTGACCCAGGCTCTGAGACTCTGCATCTCACAGGCTGAAAGTAGCACTTCCTGGTGCAGCAGAGAAGAGGGAAGCCTCCAGCACCCACTTGGTAGCAGAGATTTGCAGAGTATCCATAGGGTACCGTGGCTGGGCCATTTCTTCATTAATGCCCGAGGCAGGAAAGCAGCGTTTTCTCGAGGCTGATGGCCTTACACCAGGGGAGGCCTAATTTTCATGTCAGCCCTGCCTGTTGTGGCATTAACAACAAGGGAAGTGGAGACGCTTCACCACAGGCAGCAGGCGGATTACGTCGCTGTGTGTTTCCGACTTGTCCTGATGCTTCTGCTATTGTGCCAGGGGCTCATTATAGGACGTATATTCAGAGCTGTCATTGTGGCTTCCGAGACTGAAATGGAGCCATGTGGGGCCAACTTTTATTTATAAAACACAGAAATATGCAGCATAGTTCATGCCAGAGTCTTCTGTCCCCTGGTAACCTCCACAAAGGCACAGCTCTGGCTATGTCTACATTGCGCATTCTTGCGCAAGAAGATATACAAATGAGGCATGGCGACGAATATTGCCGCGCTTCATTTGCATACCTAATGAGACGCCCTTTTGTGCAAGAAGGAGCTGTCTACACTGCTCCTTCTTGAGCAAAAACCCCCTCTTGCGCAAGAGCCGTTCTGCCACTTATTTTCAGGCAGAACAGCTCTTGTACAAGAGGGGGCTTTTGTGCAAAAATGGCAGCTCATTAGGTATGCAAATGAGGCGTGACAATATTCATCGCCACACCTTATTTGCATATCTTCTTGCACAAGAGTGCACAATGTAGACGTAGCCTGACTGTTCTAATTTAGCTCATCCCTATTGATGTGGGAAGAGAGGCTGGACTTTTCAAAGGAGCCTAAGGGTGCGAGGCCGTCAGTTCAAAGGGAGAATTCCTGTATCTATTTATGGCACTTACATGTTTACAGCAGTATCTTTGAATGTATTTCTCCTCTCAACACTCCTGTGAATTAGGATAGTGCTCTTATGTCCATTTTACAGATGGGGAAATGGAGGCCTAGAAAGACTACTTGACTTGTAAAGGCTACAGAGGAAGTCTGTGATGTAGAAGGAATTGAACCTAGCTCTCCTCTTTATTTCAGTTTAACACCTGAATCACTGAACCATTCACCATACTTAGGTCTGTTTAAAACTTCTACCCATCCACAGAATGCCCCTTTCTGAGTGGGTGAAAATGCCCACCAAGGATATGGCCCTATATATTTTTTCCTAACCATTTTTTCCTTCGCTATGAGGTCCTATGTAAATGCATTAGTTACTAGTGTGATAATTCTTAGAACATAAGAATATACATAAGAACATAAGAACGGCCGTACTGGGTCAGACCAAAGGGCCTTCTAGCCCAGTATCCTGTCTACCAACAGTGGCCAGCACCAGGTGCCCCAGAGAGGGTGGACCGAAGACAATGATCAAGCGATTTGTCTCCTGCCATCCCTCTCCAGCCTCTGACAAACAGAGGCCAAGGACACCATTTTATCCCCTGGCTAATAGCCTTTCATGGACCTAACCTCCATGAAATTATCTAGCTTCTCTTTAAACTCTATTATAGTCCTAGCCTTCACAGCCTCCTCTGGCAAGGAGTTCCACAGGTTGACTACACGCTGTGTGAAGAAGAACTTTCTTTTATTAGTTTTAAACCTGCTACCCATTCTTGTTTTATTACTAGAGTTACCAGACTTTGCACCTCTGTGGCAATCTTTGTGCTTGAAGTGAGCGGTGGTCAGTGTTCCCACTCCATCCATGTGCAGAATACATTTTGTTATGTGCACTAAAGCATGCACAGATGTGCACCACTAGTAGAAACACATGCTGCTGGCTGTGAGTGCTATGGGAGCTCCAGCTAATCAGCTGGGGTGGCATTTGAACCTCTCCTGGATGGATGCCCAAGCACTCAGCTGATAGGGAACACTGGTGGTATCCCCATTTTATGGATGTGAAAATGGAGGCACAGAAATCAGCAATTAGCCCAGCCACAGCAGGTGTCATGACAGAGCTGGGAATAGAATATACACTCAGAATCCTCTAACTTGCAGTCCTGTGTTTTATTCACTATGTCATACTGCCTCCCAAAAACCTTTGAAGTCCCTCAGGCCTAATCGAGATAGCTGCCCTTTTAGCTATGACTCATTTTACAGTGGTGACAAAATACAACAGAAAATAAATCTGTCGATTATATTATAATTGTGGCGTAATAGATAGATGATGTAAGTGTTCCCTACGGGTACATCTACACTGTGGTGCTATTTCAGGATGCTTCCGGAATCCCGAAACAGCTATTCTGCATCTTGCCAGTGTGCCCTTTATTTATCTTTCAAAATAATGGGAACACTATTCCTACATCCCTGGAAACCCCATTCCATGAGGAGTAAGGGACATTTTGGAATAGCGGTTTATTTCAAAATACACTTGGAATAAGCTACACAATTGGCATAGCTCAAATTGTGTCACTTATTTTGAGCTAAGAGTGTTGTGTAGATGCACCCTAAAGGGGGAGAACTTCTGAAACTTTCTCCTTAGAAAACCTGAGGCCAGGACCTCCACAGAAGCCAGTGTGATTAAATGATTTCCACCCACTGAGAATCTGTCTCTTGGTTGCTAAGAATGTTAGTGAGTGGAACTGGAAGAGTGAAAGTGTTTTTCTGGAGGCCTGAGAGTTAAACCATGTACATCACAGAGCGAAGGTTTTAGAATAGCTCAGTATAAACATCATTACAAGTGAAGTGATTTTTTTTTTAAATCATTTTTGTCTTCATTGTTTTCATTCCAAGAGGAAAAACATTCCAAAAGGAGAAGAGCTTCCACCAAGAGAGCTGGGTCTGAGGCTGGGATGCTTTAGGACTGTATTCTCGGCTATGGTCTGAAATGACATGGTCGTGCAGATGCGACGAAGCATTCTAGCAGACTCTGTAATTACAGCCCTGCTTCCTGCTCCAATGTAACCGAGCATGAGGCTGTTGCTGCACCAGGGCGATGTAACAAGCGCGTTGCTGGGACATGCCACATGTCATCATAATTCCTGCTTCTTTCTGTTTGTAGCCTGGGACTACGGAGAGTCTTTGTCCAATGGGGAATCTGGGCACCATTCGTCTCCTCCTCAGAAGAGTCTGCCAGACCTTCCTCCTCCAAAAATAGTACGTGATTTTCCTCAGCGCTCCTTTTTCTCCTTCACTTTTCACTGTCTTAATATACAATCAAATGATAGAATTTTATATCTTTTAAATTTTCCATGGTGCATACTGGTTTTAAGCATAAGGCCCACAGGAGGATTCAAACCCAGGACCTCTCAACCCCTCGGCTTGCAAACTCTCCTATGACCCAGGGCTCATGTGTACCATCATCTTAACCCCTCTGTTGGCCAGCAAGGTGTGAAGTTTAAGGCTCGTTGGGCACAGAGTGCAGCTGCTACCCAAGATTATTGCAGTCCCTGCATTTGCTCAGCAGAATGCAGTGTGGGGTGGGGAACACTATATTGTGTAAGTTGCAACCTTATGGAGTGCAGCTTTCTCCCTGTGTTTGGGGGTTTGCTCTGTGTGTGTATGTGTGCGTGTGTGTGCGCGTCTCGAGAGACTGATTATACACAATTCAGTTTTCCCTGAAATTTTGCACCAAAAAAGTCTCCAAGCAAAAAGCCTTTGGATTTTTCCATGGGCCAGTTACAAACGTAATTAGGCTCCAGTTCATCACAATGGGCTTTCAGTGGGATTTTGTTTCCTTGGCCAAAGAGCAGCCCTCGCTATCCTCCAGAGACTCTGACAAGCGGGGCTTACTGCTAAGCAGCTGATCAGACATGGGAATTTCAGCAGTAAGGACTTCCTGATGTGAAAGGACAGCAGACTTGAAAGAGAGGCGTTAGTGGGAGAGGGGAGGGAGGAATATGTATGAAGGGGTAGGGCTTGCTGGAGAAAATTGCTCCTTTTAAAAGGAAGGAGAAGTCCAAAGGCAAGATAAGGGATGAGCATAAAGGGTCTGATGGGTTCTCTGCTGTAAGGGAGGCTAATGGATGGATGGCCTAGAAAGGCAGGTCTGGATTAACTCACAAGCCTTTCAGACACATTGCACTTGTCCTAATGGCTGCGTTCCAGAGCCTGGGGAGTTTTTCCAGCTAACCCATCTGGCTTCGTGGTTCGAGCTGCTCACGCTCCCCACGCTGTGAAGGGAAGTCGTGACGTGTGTGTGTCTGGCTCGGATCCCATGGGGCACTTTTCCTGGTGGGGGTAGGGGCAGCAGTAAGGAGATGGGCGGACGAGGCCACCGGCTGGGACAGCCAAAGCGTCCCATGCCAAAGGAAAGCCTGCCCGGGGCGCAGCAAACAGATGTGCCTCTTCTGCAGCCTGCACTGCGTGTGCTGTCCGGACGAGCGCCAGCTGCACAGCCTGAGCCCTGCTGGCTCTGGCTGTGGGAAACTTCGAGGCAGCTCCTCCTGGTTGTTGAGTGGAACGAATACAGGAATGCACCTCTCGCTCAGCAGAGCGCCGGCATGGGGAAACCCACTGCCCTCCTCCCGGCCCTACTGTTGCCTCCATGTTCCTTCAGCAGATCTCTGGCTCCTTCCTGATTCCCCCTCTTTAATGCCTGTCCCGTTTAATAAAAATTGCCCAGTTTATTGATCCAATCCACAAGTCTCTCATGCCCTTGTCATGAGTTTCACCACCTGCTGGATTAGAACCCAGAACCCCAACTTGAGCTGAAGGAGTGACTCTGTTAGAGGGTAGCACTAGTAGGATGTTATCCTCTATGTGCAACAGCCCCTGGTGAGGAATGTGGTACACGCTTTCCATACCTCTTCATTTCCCCGGTATACATGTAATGGGATTGACTGTCTGTGCTCTGGAGGGACAGCCTGGGCTGGATGCTGGGGCTTTAGTAGAACCATGCAGAACATAGGGGCATAGCTCCTGCCCGATCTACTCATCATTTAGCATCACATTGAATTTTGAGATCAAGCCATTTGAATGTATATTTAAAGAAGGATGAAGCAAGTGAATGAATTAAACTAACGTGCAAGTGGAGTGGGGGGGAAACAGCTCTGCCACCTCGGACAAGGGGCAAGTCTGTAATTGACAGGCCTGGAGACCGGTCCAAGAGTTGCCAGCACATCTGCTCGAGCAGTCTGCCATGGGGCCAGGTGTGCTGGATGACTGCGGCTCTGCTGGACGCAGATTCTTCCTCAGCTTGGCATCTGGCTAACTTGGAACTTGCAAAATGAAATCACATCAAAAACTAGTCTTGAGGATGCAAAATCTCCAACCGTTGGGATGGGGGAAGAGACGTGTAGGGCTCGTTACAGTCTTAAAAAAGACTCCAGAGTTTGTTCCCGATATTCTTCCTTGATTAATCCTGCAGTGCATTTACGAAAGCCTGGTTTACATATGAAAAATTTGGGGATCGGAATTTCAAATTCAGCTCCAATTTAGGCATCTGAATAAAAGCCTGGTTTTTCCGGAGTGCTCCTCTCCCACTGTGAAATTAATGGCTGGATTTTTTTTTTAAAGAATTCAGTGACTGATGTGTTGAGCTTTTTTTTAACATTCTGGCCTGATTGTGGGGTTGGCCAGGAATTTTTTTGACTCTTTTTGGACATTTTTTTTTTATTTAAAAAAAATTGTTTAAATCAAAACTGGTTGTGTCAAAACAACCTTTTCAATACGTTGCCTGACTTGAAAAAAATGTTGAAAACGTCCCATTTTGAAAGTGTCAAAGTGAAAAGTTGAGATTTTTCAGTGCAAAACAATGTATTTCCAAATGTAACTGAAACGAAACAAAAAATGTAAAAAACAGGTCAAAATAAAAATTAAATATTTTGAAATGATTCATTGCAAACTTTCCATTGCTGTGAACTTCCCCCACCCCACCCACACGCTTTCTGTTACTGATTTTTTTTTTAAATTGAATTTTTGTCCTGATTTGGGACAGAGACTTTTCTCTTAATCTCAAAAATTCTTCTGCCCGGTGCTAGAGCTGAACTGCTTTGAACATCTGGCTGTAAACTGCATGCCTGAAGCACACCCCACCTCCACACAACAGTGCTAACACTGCACGCATGTCAACCCCCATTTGGATTACGCTGATCTCCACAGGCAAGTCTACACAGCAGTTACACACCCCTGTGCCAGTTGACTGGGGCTCATGGAGCTTGGGTTAAGGGGCAGTTTAATTGGTGTGGCCTGAGCCCAAACGTTTTCACTGCAATTAAATACCCCCTTAGCCTGAGCCCAAATCAGTAGGCCAGTCATGGGTGTCTAATTGCAGCATAGACATACCAATATATGAACAGTCCCATTGATTTCTCAGTACATTAACATTACACATGCACTCCGGCTTGCAAGACGGTGGCAAGGGAGAGCATTTCGCTCGTCCCACGTAGCCTTTGGCGTTCACTGACGTAGAGGGGGCAGGTCAGGGGTGGTTGGTGCTGCCTTCTGGCTGAGGAGAATTTTTTGAGAGGCCAAGTTAAGGGAGTGGCAGCACAGTTGGTTACATTGCAACAGCTGTAGCTTTGGCAAGGGATCCGCGGTGTGTTTCTCCCGAGAACTTTGTGCTTTTCCT